TTTGTTTAAACAAAATTATTTAAACAAACATTCCGAAAAAGCAGGGCCTCTATTCGAGTATACGTAAAAAACGATGAAAACACCCTGTGGCACTTTTCGTCGAATGGTTTTCTGTTGATGTAAAATTTGGAAAAACAAACCTGCCCATTGTGTCACTACATACGTCATAATTCCTAGCTCGAATATTGACAATGATTTTACACAAAATCAAGTTGACGAAAAGTGGTGAAGAGATTTTTTTCCTTACTTTTGGCTTGGGTTCTAATAGATATATAATAGAAGAGGAAAAAAAATCTATGTTGTCTTGAACTTTTTTATAGAAAATTTTATGATCTTATACAAACGGAGCAGGTCCTGTTTGTATAAACGAAAATATCTAATGAAGTAGTCGATTTTTCCCAAGATTTTCTTAAAGAAAACTAATAAAAGTCCAATAAGTCACCCATAAATATCAATATTACGAACTCTTCATGAACTAGGATTCGTCCCACATCTGTTCTCTGCAACTACTAAACCTTTTAACAAGAAACAAAAGAAAAACGATATTTTAAATCACCCCAATATTTGATAAAACCGAATTTTGTGAAGGATTTGCTATAATAGTAAAGATGCGTAACTTTGATGTGCATATATTTGCATTCGTTGTCCTAACCCGAAACCCTGTCTACGCCTCTGGCTGAATAAGCGCTTTTTTACACGATTCCAATCAGGTTACGGTCTCCCTTTACCTATACACACCTCCACTTGGATATGCCTACACTATAAAAACAGACTAGTTAGATGAAACTTCATTAGTTCGTCGTTGTTATTATTGTTGTACACACTTAAGTGCATTTATTAATAACAATAGTTTACCTGACGGACCGACCATTACAGGCAGAAAGCTTCAGGCACAGCACCCTACCCCCTACGCCGCATAGACTTGAAGGTCGCGGAATTTTTACCAATTGGAAGGTAGTTTGTCTATTTATAAGCCAGTTCGTTAGCAATCAGACTATTTATTCCATTAAGAGCGATTAGATAAATATTATAAAATATTAAATGTAATATCTGATTAATTCAAATTTTGTATCTATTAGATATAGTTGCCTGGTCTACTACTTGGCGTAGATTAGTGAAAGGTGGTGGCCAGTTTGACCGTGGGATTGAAGAACCTGCTAGAAAAATAGCGGACTTTGTATATAAATAAACCGTTGTTGCAGACGTACGGTCAAGTTCGTGAGCAGAACTGATTTTGGAAGCAATGTTAAGGGTGAGTTGTAGAATTTACTTTTTTCTTTCGCTTTTTACGTTAAGGATTCTTTATTTTTTGCAAAAATTTACGTAAACGTAGAGATCTATTAAATAGTGACAAAATATTGTTCTATAATTATACGCGAACATTGAGGCTTTTTTGGTAGGTAGGTAGGAGATGAAAAAGTTTACATCCATGGATGTGCACAAAACAAAAATAATTTGTGTGTATTGCCTTCATCATCAGTCCTAAGACAGGTTGGACACGCACCTCCACTCCTTCCTATCCTGAGCTAATCCTTGGATTTCCCACATCCTTAACTATTTGCGAAAAGTAATCTAACCTAGATATATTGCTTTAGGATTAGGATAGGTCAAATATAATTTAAAAATTAATTTATGATTAATGCTCACTTGCTACACGGGCGGCCCGGCGTAATCCCTTTTGTATGTGATCACCTTTATTTCTTCTTTTTCATCACACAGAGATTTTTTTTCATCTTGAGTCAATCTTCGTATTTCTCGAAATCTTTAATTTTTGCAATTATTTACCTCTGTCGTCCTGATTCGGCTTCTAACAAGTCTCTAACTGACCCTTCGTGTCTTAAAAGCAATCTATCTTGCCTATTTCTTATCGATTTCCATAATGCCATCCGTTTTCCAACTCCTTCTAATACCTCCTCATTTCTAACCTTTTCTAACAACGGTTTATAAAAAGTTTTCCCTTATGATGGGTAAAAAAAAATAGTGAGTATTTACCGAAACGCCTGATAAATGTGTGCTTGTTCTTTAAGACGACTTGAATCCTTCACGAATGGCAAAATACGTTAGGAATATAATTTTGCGATTTTTTTTTATAAAGGGATGATTGCTATTTGTTTTGTGGCCATAATTTATTACCCAAAATTTGTCGTATACTTTTAATATACTATATATATATTTAAAACTGTCCAATGTTGTTCATAAGCCGAAAGTATGAAAAGATGATTATGATTATTTGACAGTAAAATGGGCGGTAATTCCATAATACTCATTCATACTGAAAGACAACCAACCAATGCCGAAAGAGATTTCTCATGTATTCATTACGTTTGTTTCATCTTTCTCTCCCCATCTACCTCCCAACCACTCTCGCGATTCTTAAATAGAGGCCGGAGAGAGCCTTCCACCCTACTCTCCGGCGTAGTCCACAAGGACTGTCAGCCTATAGTTGGGAAGTTAAAAATTCGTATAGTCCGCAATAAAACTGTCTCATTTATTTTCTTCTTTCAACTTAATAACAACTAGACTAGTGCAGTTACTAACAGAATGCCTACTTTTACTCACGAGAGATGTTATAGGGATGTCGTAAATACAGAAAAGAGATGTCAGGTAGAAATTGCAGCGTACACTAATAAAGAAAAAGAAATAACATTACACCAGTTAATGTGTAACAGAAGGAGATGCAGACAAGCAGAATTTTGGCGTGTTGTCAGCACCGGACTTTAAAGAAAGTTTAACATTCTCAGGAATATAGAAAAGTAGAGACGCTTATTTAAAGATATAGTTCTAACTAGGCGGTTATAAAGCCGACCCCTGATTTTTTGCGTACCTAAGCAATCTCTAATAAACATACATACAATTTGAGACAACTTTTAGAAGTGAGTTACTTTAATATGAAATATTAATCTGAAAATTCATTTTTGAATTTTTTACCCACTACACGCTAGCTCAAAATAAAGAGGGAAAAATTGTTGCTGTTCTAACAGTTGTCTAAACTTGTATGTATGTTTAATCATAGCAACAATTTTTCCCTCATTAATTTGTGTTGTTGTGGGTAAAAAATTCAAAAATGAATTTTCAGATTAATATTTCAAATCTCTAATAGTTAGTATTTAGTAATTTTCAAAAAGATAAAACTACTTGACTTGATGAATCAGCACAAATTAACAACAATTGTCGATGAAACTCAAAAACTGTAGTAAGAATTAAAACTCATATTTGCTGCACATCAAACAGCAACAAAAACCAACTTCTTTATTTAGAATATGACTGGTATCGTACCTTTCATGTTTCTATCTCTGGCACTTTGCATTACTAGTGAAATTTAATTGAAAAAAAAAACAATGAAGTCATATCGTAAATGATATTGTTAAGTACATGAAAAACGCTGCATTTTATTTACTATTCACAGTATCCGTTTTCGCAATTGCGATAGATATATGAATAAAATTTTAAGAAATCGTCCTTGCATGGCCGAGTTCCCTTTACTTTTTTTTTGTTGTAATTCAACGTTTAACTGTCGTATTTATTCATAAAACCTTTCATTCAAGCATTTTCAGAGCGAAATGAAAGTCGACAATTCCATTAAAACTTTATCGACAAATCGCACACTTTTAATTGTAGCGCGTGAGTTTAATTTATCAAGCCCCCATGCCATAAATATCCATTTGCAATAATAATAGTAATAATAATATGAATAGCTTAGTTGGGTGCATTAGCACTAAAAATAAATATCCATTTAGCTTTCATTAACTGCGGCATTAGAAACTAAGCACACGCCTCGTAAGCAATCCTAATTTATTAATGAATGAATGAACTGAACGAATGAGTTAACCAAGGACAATGCAATTTCAAAGCATTTGCATACAATTACAGAACGAACCCAAACCAGAAATCTTTTGATAATATTTAAAATGTGCTTTAGTCCTTTAATCATATCCACTTACCTTTATAAAGTTAATAAGTTGAATTTTGTTTTCAAACGAAACATTTCTTTTAAACTGCGGTTATATAGGGTGTAACGGAAATAAGTGCCGAGCTTCGGAAAATGTAAAAAAATCAAAAGAAATGACATTTTTAAATTACNGGTTTTTATGCAATATTAATGTAAAAATTCATTTTCGATTTTCTATCCACTACAAACTTCCTCAGGTTAATGAGGAAAAATATTTTGTTGCTGTTGTCACACCCTCGCCGGGAATCGAACAGCAACAAAATAGTTTTTAGTGGATAGAAAATCGAAAATGAATTTTCACATTAAAATTGAAAATCAAATGAGTCTCCAAAAATTTCGCACCCCGCATTTACTGAAAAGAATTCTTGAAATCGCTTAGGATTCAAATTTAAAATTCTGTCTCGCCTGAAGCAAATTTGTCTGTAAACAACCCTAATATGGAAAAAATTTTCTTTTATTTCGAAACTAACGGAACAAATCCACTAGCGACTAAAAGTCAGTTTCAGGCAAGGTTTGCACTCGTTGCAAATGATAAGGATGCAGCAACTGTTGCCTGAAAGGAGCCAACGTTCTCTACTATTTCGCGTGGACTATTCTGGGCATTAAATCGAGAAATTCATCCCTACAGCCAGAGGCGGATTAAATGTTAAGAGCGCTCTAGGCTAGCACCTCATAGACGCCCCTCTGACGGTCGTATATTTTGCAAAATACTTTTTTTTTATTAGGTACTTCCTTATTTTTCTTTTAGGTTTAGAACCTTCCGCGCGCACCCCTTTTTAACCTTGCGCCCCTAGGCATATGCCTACTTTGCCTTATGGATAATCCGCCACTGCCTACAGCAGCGATATTGGTTCAAACCCGTAAATACGTATTACGTCACATGAATTTTAACAACAAATTTACTACAGTAACTGACCTATATTAATGATTGACGCTGTAATGCTGAATTAGTTTCTTGAACTGTACATCGATTGTCTCATACAAGTTTTTAAACTTTAAAAGAATAAACGGTTACTAATAGAGTTTGGCTGTTAACATAAACACCCTAAACTACACTTAATCTAATCTAACAAATGAACAATACATGAACAAAAATATATAAAACAAAAACTACACTGATGCTGGCAATCACCAGTTGATTGAGTGCAGCGTTGCGGGCGCTATCTCTCTAACAGGGCCGGAATCGAATTTACCTTTACTTTCAATTACATTTTTTTCGAAAACGGTGAACTTTCGGACATGGAAATATCTACCTAATATTCATGTTTAACAATGCTCTATCACCTCCTGCAAGTTCGACACATATTTCTGTTGCACCCTGTATATTCTTCTTTATAGTTTAGCTAAATGTCAAATGGAAAATTTTAAAATACCAAAATTTAATCGTCTATATCTTTTCATTCATGTAATCTGCCACTGCCATTTTTTGTATTTATGTGTAACTAGGCTTTACTCGCGGTTTCCTTGGCATTGATGTTCTAAATACGTGTAAAAGACCATCGACGACATAAAACTAACCTTTCTGTCCCTCAGGAACAGTTTTTATATTCTGAATAAAACGTACTCTATGTCCTTTTCTCTACTCACGTCAATGCGTGTACACAATTTCATGATGATCGGTTGAGTAGTTATGGCGTGAAATAGTAATAAACAAACAAACAAACTCACATTTGCGTTTATAATATTACTTAAAATATTTACGATCAGCAACATTTTTCTTTTACCTAACGCGATTATCACTAAATAAAGTAATCACTTTTAAATTTAAATCCAAATTAAATTCACATTAGTAACGAATGGCATTTTAATTTTAATATTTTGCTTGTGACCAAATTCATCAGATTTTATTATTGTTCCAGATTTTTGCATTGTTATTATTTTTCGTGGCGGGCTATTGTTACGGCGCTCCCGACCCTTACTACCCCCAACCAGACCCATACGCCACGCCGCCACCATGGAGAGGCCCGATTCACGTCCCCGTCCTACGGCCCGACGGGGTACCACGAGAACCTCCGGAAGTAGAAGCCCAAAGGCAACACCACTTGGCTAAAGTCAACGAAGCTTACGCAACGGCCGCTCCCAAAGTAGGAGTGTGGCAGGGTGGCTACAATAACCCAGCTCCCCAGTCGCAATGGAATCCCCCAGCCCAATCGCAATGGAATCCGCCCCCGTCCAACCAGTGGAACCAGAATCGCTGGAACGGACGACTGCCCGAATTCGGCCCAAACGGGCAGGTGAAAGAAACACCGGAATTTGAGGCAATCAAGCAACAACACCTCGCCGAATACAGTCGTGCCTTGGCCAGGTCAGGAGCGCCGCAATATTATTAAAATTGTTGGTATATCATCAGCAAATTTTTATTTTGTAAATAGTTTAAGTATTTGTGCAATAAATAACATAGTTTAAGGTGAATTTATGAAGGACAGACAAGAAAACTTTCACTGAAATCTAAAACCGAGTGCCATAATACATTTAGAGTAATGATGAAACTCATTAAGGTGTTTCACATACTTAATAATCCCGCTAAACTTCCACGCATTATATCAGCACGTACAACAACAATGGACTAACAATTTCAAATAAAACTAATTATTTTTTAATAGATGTATTA